ATTGTGCAGCTCAGAATGTAGAACAAACCAAAGGTAACTGAACATTTCAAATCGAAGCCTGTGTTAATTTTGAAAACCAAAATAATTCACTTTCTTCAAATGTTAAAAACAGTCTTTTACTGAGGAACGTTGGAATTTCTTTTCTTCTAAGAAAAAAGATGACGAATGTAGAGGAAACGAAAAACAAGGTTGTGACTACAACGGCTAATTTTTTCCATAAAACGTATGATAATGGCATACAAAACTAACGCGTTTTTTTTACATCATTTTTTTCAGTTTGTCGATGTTTGTCCGTTTTCCTTGCCAAAACTTCATGAGTTTACTGGTTGATCAACAAAACACTATAAAGTACTTATTCAAGACAAATTTACTGCGACTGGTAAGCAGTACCTCCCCACTTAACATTGGTGTTTTACAGCTGCAGAAGGTAAGTCACCAGTTCATTTCATGGATACTTATACTGTGCTCATGCGTTATTTGGGACTAATTTTGAAGCCGAAACAACCAAATTATCTGTAAATGTTTTTTAAAAATCCCACAAACACCCGAAAACTTTCCAGTAGCCCTTAGTTTGACGCTGACTTTCCTATCAGACTTGACATGAAAAGAGTGTTTCGTCCTTCTTAATTTTAACGCGTAAATGTATTTTAGACGACATTGCTTAGAAATGTATGACTTGAAGGTAGTTTGGTATACATGGACAAAGCAGCAAAACGCATGAACAAGACGGTGGTATAATTTACATGCGCAAGTTCCCTTCATTCTTCCGTGTATTGCGCATTGAGGTAACGGAGGTTACTTATTTATCATGTTAATATATGTCAATTAGTCCCTCCCGCCCCTTGACTATAGGTGGTAGTGGTGGGTATCAAGGTGATACAATTATTTCAACTATGATTTTCGAAAAGCCCGAGCCAAGTTAGATTAGACAAGAAAAAGAGCAAAGGAAAACTTATTTGGCCATAAGTTATTAGTAATCTTGCATACTTCGTGTCTCATACTTCTTCAAACCAGTGTGCTGCAGGTGGCGAAGTTAGTGTATAGCTTTGTTAGTAATGGAGCTGCTGAGTATTGAAATTAAGTTTTATTCTATCCACTTAGTTTTATTTTTTTGTTCGTTTTTTTTTTGTTTGTTTTTTGTTTTTTGTTTTGCTTGTCCTACCTTTTCTGCGTCTGGCAACTGCAAACCCCTCTGTGCCGCTGCCTTTTACTGAAACTTGATTCATTTACTATTTCAGCCAAAACTCTTCTTCTTTGACAGGATGGAATCGTTGTTAAATTACAAGCTACAACCTCAAATAGTGATCTGAAGACCATGCAAGAAACTATAGAACACTTGGTAAATCAAGGTAAAGTTGTGCTTGGACCTGCTGCCGATATACGTGCAGTTTACACCGCAAGGAGTCCTAAGGAATTTACAGAGTAAGTTTTTTATGCCTTAATAATTGTATAAAACTGCATCTTAAGTTAAAAAAAGAGCTTTCTTATCTCCATAGTCTTCATGTTTTATTTACCTTGGACCAAGCTCTACCACAGCCCTCACAAGAAAAGAGTAACATTAAAGCCCAGTTGGAGTCCATCCTCAGTAAACTTGTGGGAAGCTCACTAGTCAATAGAATTCGTCGCCTATGCCTTAACAAGGTAATGAATTTTTTTTTTAACAGAAACACGTATTATTATACTTTAATTCTGCCAAAAATGACGTGACTTATATATATATATATATATATATATATATATATATATTTTTCTAGTTTGAGCACTCAGGCATGGCTTAGATGATACCACATATGTGAGATCACTTGGGGTGGCTATATGGCCTTACCTCCATCTTAGCATCAGCACTGCACTGATGAGGCCCAGAAGGCCGAAACAGTACTGTCTGCAGTTAGTTATATATATATATATATATATATATATATATATATATATATATATATATATATATATATATATATATATATATATATATATATATATATATATATATATGTACACACATATTGTATGTCTGTAAAGAAAAAGCTGATTACAGTACCAATTAACTACGATCTATTTCTGTTTCGATGTTGTTCAATCTCTGCTAATTAACTTTTGTTTCTACTTAAAAAATATATATATATCATCAAAGTATATCATTTTCCCATAATCGGCTGAATTTCAAACAGATATAACACTTTTTCTTTCTCTTCCTCTCTGTCTTATCATCTGTAACTGAACTTGTTTTCTATTGACAGACATCCATTCGGTTTTCCTTGAGCAACGAGGGTGAAACTGTACTACATCCGATCAACGAAATGAAAACGCGTCTTGAGCGCCTGGTTAAGCTGGGAAAAATATCTTTTGAAGTTCCACTTATTACTGGATCTGCTGTAATGACTGATGTTTCAGTTGTAAACATTTCTTCTCGCGGTACTTTTGATTTTTTGTGTCATCCCTACACAACATCAACATCATCAACATCTGCAAAGACGACATCGCCACAAAGCACGCGCCATGTTGAAAGCAGCACAAGTAAGTCTCAATGATTGTGAATATTTGTGAACCGCAGCCAGCTCCCAGTTGGGTTGTTAGCTCAGTTGGTAGAGCACTGCACCTGTATCGCAGTGGTCACGGATTCAAAGCCCGTGCAGGCCTGAATTTTTTCAGATCTTATTTTCACTGCCGCTTAGGTAGTGATTATTACTGCGAAGATCGCTTTCATATTCACAAGTAAGATTGTTAAAGCCAATGTACTTTCGTAAACTTTGGTAACCCGTCCAGCCGAAAAAACTAAGCGTGATGTCATGACTTCACACCCTCAGTCCTTACGTATGTACAGGAAAGAAAATAATATTGAGCATGCACAGCAACCAGCATTAGAGGTGAAACTCAGACTAACAAACACAGGCGAGGACAATAATACTTTCCTCTCGTTCAACTTTGATTGAGGTAAAGATATGGGAGGTCCAAATAAAAAAAAGTTTGAAAAAGAACATTCGAATCTTTGAAAAATATTTCACATTTTTCACGACTTCAATTTGGAGATTACCACGGCCCAGAGAGTTTTCGAGGTCACCATACCTCGATTGATTCTCAAAGCCATGCGAGTTATAGCTGCAAATTGAAACCGAACTCGTTGACTTCAAGTGAGGCTTCTTGACATTTTGAGAATTCTACAACTTGGTAAATTTTATTTTCGATTCACGATACGTCTTCATAGGCTTGGCAACTTACAATGGAAATTACGATGGAACCTTGCAATCTGTAACGTTTGTCAAACAGTTCATCTCTGTACTATATATGTAGTCTAAATTCCTCTAAAAACGTTATAACGCCATTGTACAACAGAGGCTAAAATGAACAAAATGATTTTTTCTAGTGTTAAGTGGAACCATCTCTCCCTCCGACAAGAACGATGTTCGCGAACAAGGCCTCACTCCTGTGGAGATAGGAATTGTCGTCGGGGTTTCTGCGCTTGCGGTGTCCGCTTTACACTGTATTTTGTTTGCGCTGTGCAAGAGGGGACGACGGGAAAAGAAAAAGAGAACAGTGTCCCCAGAAGGAAATTTTGAGGATGAGTTACCGTCAGAATTTTCAGATCTGTCAGAAATGGATACTGATACGCATATTGCTCTAAGTAATATCAACACTACTTATGAGCCAACAAGAATTCATCTGTCGCCAAGAGAGGCCTGGGCTAGAGCAAGAGAACTAACAATTCAAGCGCCACAACAAGTTCCAAAAGGGGCGTGGTTTTAAAACGTACATTAAAAAGTAATTTTAGAGTTGTTTTAGCTAGTCACGATGATATAGTACGATCATGTCATGATGTAATATTTCTTGGAAACACATCAGAAAGAATCGAGAATCCCGGGTGGGTGATATGATCAATTTTTGCTGTGTATTAGCCGCTGGCCAGAACCCCTATCCCATTATAGTCTGCTTTGTGGCCATTTATTAACCCCATCTTAGTCACTTTTAGACAAATGTAACAACTTTGTAACTGCGAATCTTCCCATTTTAAAATCCCTACATACCAGAATGTTCTTATCCCGAAAATACCGTAAATGTGCTACACCATTCTAGTAACTTCATTGAAAATGTAACCCCATTGTGGTGAATCCAGTCGTGAGAATGCAGCCCCATACAGGTGCACATCCGCATCAGCCTCTTACCAGGAAGTACCTCGCCCCCTTCCTTCCCGGTCACGAATAAGGAGTTGCCCTTTTAAATTAAAGTTTACTTCATCTCGATTAATATACTTTTCATTAGTTTTTATGCTTTGAAAGGAACCACTGGTAAATTTCTTATGACCGCCACCTCGCAATATTTTGTGTCGTTTTCTGCGATGAGCCAAATCCTTTTCAACGTGAAAGAAACTATAAAAAAAATTTTAAGAAACACTAAAATCGGATGATAAACAGCGCGGGGTGCCATAACTGACAATTTTATTTAATCTGTCTTGACCTGGTTACAGCTGGTCACGTGTCGGTGTACAATACAAAGACGCCTAAAGGGTGGGTCCCCTTTTGAATTTTTTCAGCCGCAGCGCGGCGCGGCGCACGTAGAATTCTGTTTAGGAGAGGTGGTGGGGGAAGAAACTTAGCGCTTACAACTTAACAGCTTGGAAGGGAAAGAAATCCTGTCCCTTCAAATATTAACCATAATGCATCAAAATATGCACCAAAAGAGCATGTAAGGTTGAAGCCCCGCGCAAAGCGAGCTGGCAAGAGGTCTCTGCGTGATTTGCAAGAGGTCCCATTTTCAGCGCCAGGTCCTTGTCCTTCGGCTGTACATCAAATGAGCAGTTTCGCGGAGGAAATCATGATGTTTGGAGAGAACTCTGCAAACTGCATTCATTTGTTGGATTGTCATTTTATTTTGATTTTTGCTGGAAAAGAAAATCCTTGAACCAATCCGGTGTTATATAGCGGACATGAAAACTTTCATATATGACGTATCCCAATTACAGCTGTGCGGAGTGACCGTGGGCTTCTATAAGTACTCGAAAGCTTGAGCAAATCAAATGGCATCAAGGTTATACAGTAGATGATACATTCTTTTATAACTCACAACAGGACGTCAGTCTGCAAGGCTTCACGTCACGAATGTAACATGAGCGCGGAGTTGCGAAAATCTGCTGGCTCAGACATCAAGCGACTGCAGGAGATGGTGAAACGGCTTGAAGAACAAAATGCGCAACTAAAGAGCACGGATAGTCGGCGTGTCCCCTCGAACAGAATCAACGACGATAACATGGTCAAAGTCAAGTTAAATTTGGATGATGTCCCATTATTGGACTTGAACGCTATGGTAGAGGAAGATGAGGATACATGGTGGGTAACTCTGGTGATTTTCGCTTTCTTTACTCTAGGTGGCTTCTCAAACAATTTCATTATCACTTACCCTTGGACTAATCCAAGCTTAGTTAGCTCCTTTGAAATGTTTTTTCAGTAAACAGTACGAGTGCATTACTTCTCAAGTGAGCGGCTTTTCTGTTTCAATCTGTCATAATAGTTGTAGAGTTTTTCTTCAGTCAGAATCACATGTTCGGGTAAGCACAGATGGTTTCAATAGATGAAGACGTCATATTCGATCAAACAACCAAATCTATCGTAATTTGTAATACCTTTACATTATTCAACTCAACGTGGAATCTACGTGTGTTTGTTTTACATGATTAAAAAGCAAGATGTTTATGGTGTCGTCATTTCGGCGTCTGTCCTCAAAAGATCATAAGTAAGAACCAATCAAAATGCAAGAATAATTAAGCTTATTATACAATTAAAACTTGTACCATACATGAACACTTGTATGGTTGCAGGAAGTGTAAATCTCAGAAACCCTACATTGTTTTGTTTTGTGTTTGGTTTTGTATTTTTGTTTTATACCTGATTAGGTTATATGTGTCTCCAAGCCATCCACCCTCTGTAGAGCAGAAGAGAGTAAGTCCTTATAAGTATCTGAAGGACAACTTGGATGTACCTGAACTCAATAAAGTAAGAGGCTCTCTTTTGGCAAAATTGGAGTCTATTGCAGCACAGGAAGGTATTGGTTCTAATACAGTTTAAATCAATAATAAGTGATAATTATACATGTCATTCCTCTTGATATTTGAGAAATCATTCTTAAACAGTACATTCAGAATTTGTCCCAAATAATATCAATGTGATATCAAGAAGACAAGTGCTGAGAATTTTAAAAAATATAAACTTTTGGATTTTTAAATTCTCTGAAGTAGAGTAACAATTGTGTGGCAGACAGAAAGGAGAATTACTATAGAGGTCTTGAGAGTGAAAGGGTTCATCTTCTTATATCATTTAAATGACATTGGTTGTGTATAACACATATGGACTCAGGTGTAACTTTTCTTGAGTGTTCTAACCAATTGATGATATTCAAATACATGTACATTGAAACCAATTGCATCAAAGTCTCCACTAGCATATACAAGGAAATGTGACAAATTGTCAAAAACATTTTGAATGTTACATATTTACATCTACAACAATATTGAATGTGAGAACTGCCAGATATGTGTTTCACCTAGATCATTGTGTGAGGTACTTAATACAATACAAGTACATGTGCTTTGTATCCATGGTTTGTGTGGTTTGTTTTACAGAGGCATTGTCTAGATCTCCCCCACATACCAGTGTAGACTCCCATCACAATTCAGTGCAGCAACAACCTGTTCATGATGACAGTATGTTCTTTTAATAACTATTGTTTTACTGTTACTTGGTTGTGCAATTTGAGGTGTAGATTTTATTTAAGGGTGCATTCCTTTGAGATGATCCAGATCAGGATTTCTGATCTGTGGCATTTGTTTGATGCAAATCCCTTTTTAGATCATTGATCCATTGAATCCACTCTGGAATTCATCAGATCAGTGATTTGGATGATCTCAAACTGGTCATTGGATCACTGATCTGCTACATTCCATTGGCATGTCACTTAGCATTGTGGTTTTTGCTTAGAGCATCACAAGTACACTATATATAAAAGCAAATTTGTCATTGTTCCCATGCTCTTGGTGTACTCAATTTTATTGAAGTAAGTAGTTGTAATTTAGCCCTGTTTCTGCCTGTGTTGGCTAAAATTGAAAAAAAAACTTTGTTTGGTAATCAAAGCTGGGTATAATTTGTTTGTTTGTTGCAGCAATGTCTTGCTTTTCTAACTTACATTCAGACTAGTCATTGAATAAAATCTCTTTGAAATTCAGTCCATGCATTCTATAGCTCACATATTTAATGATAAAAAACACCCTAAGAACTGATTTGTGTCATTCTTGATGTATAAATAAATTACTACAGGGCAGCTGAGTGATGATAGTGACAATGATGATGAACATGTTCAAGTAAAACCAAGGAGACGTGTTCCTATGGCAACTGCAAACCAGGATGATTCTGACTTGACTGTACGAGGTTTGTTCTGTAACATTGTGATGCAGTTGAGCAATTTGATGTTTGTTACTCAGTGATCTAACATATACACCATTCTGTTGATTGTTTGTTTTTAAGAGGACTTTTTGCCTTGTAGTTCAATTTTAATTGTAGTTCAGATTTTTTTCCACTGAAATTTTAGCTCTAAAGTTTTGTTTGTTTGTTTTTTTTTGCTATTTAATACTCAGTGCAAGACACTCAATTTGATAAACCAATTCAATCATTAGACCGATTCATGATGCAATTTGTTTGTATAATTTAACAATCAGATTAAAAGAACACTTTATCAGTTTGGTTGACAATAATTCCCTTTACATTTATGATAGGCCCTGTGAGAAGAAGGGGAACACCATCAACAGGTATTGAAAACCAATTGTTTCTATCAAGTTATGATTAGAATAAAAATTTCTGATTTAATAGTGGTACATGATTTATGTGTTTAAATCATACTTTGGCTTAAGTGAGGGATGCTAACTTTGGCTCTTACTTCTCCTTCAGCCCTTCTGGCTGAATCTTCACACAACAATAAAACATTGTTTTCCATTAGCACATACTGTACAAAAATAAATAACTAGATGGAGAAATGACTGCCCTTACATATGCACTTATTACAGTGTAGTTGATTATTAAAAGATTTTTATTGTGGTATTTGTAGATACATATTGATGTATCTAGATTGGTTATGCAGCAATGATAAATCTTGCATTCTTAATTCAATTGGCATACTCTATGTGTGTTCATATGCTTTATTGAGTGGAACAGGAGGTAAGGGTTATTGAAAACACACAATACAGGGAAGGTATGCGAATGTCAAAGGAAGCTAGTGTATAATCCGTTTCAACAGAAATATCTGAAAGTGCAGACTAATGGGAAGGATGAAAACTCAGGAATCTATATGAACTGGGTTTAAATAGAAATTCGTCAAATCCCCTTTCCATTGCTTCCCATGTGATCCAATAGGTGGACTGAAGGGAGACCTCAGTTAATTCTAAATTTGTGAATTAATGTTCAACTTAATTATTGTTAAGGTGTGTCTCAGACCTCAAGGCCCATTAATAATGATAGTGACAGTGATGTTGACAGTCCACCAAGCAGACCTCAGAGACGTGTTCCAGCATTTCACTCCTCAAGCCAGGAGGATTCTAGTCTGGTGGTAAAAGGTAACCAACAATACCTTTACACTATGTTTCTAATGAAGACTACTGTTACATTATGTACTGTGTGATGTGAAATGCCTTACGTTACAGCCTGGTTTGAAAGAATAAAATAGTTCTGGTTACCCTTTATCTTAAACACTTGTAGTTGTGTAGAGTTCTTTTCCTCATCCTTTGTTTCCCAGCAATATTCTTATTGATATTTCTACAACTTCTGTTTTACAAGTTGTGTGCAACGCTCTTGAAAGAAGGGAGGGTTTTGAATTTGGCCTTCAGGAATGATGCAGGTGTCAAAATGAAAGAACATTAAAGAATGTAGCTTTTCTTTCAACTGGGAAACAAATTTTGCAAAGAACAATTTTCTGTAATGTTTTGATTTCACAGAGATGTGAATTCCCAGAACTCAACTCAGATAGGAGGAAGTTATTAAAAAGTGCTGTCTGCTGGTTAAAAGCTGTTAATTTTTAGGAAAGGAGCCAGGCAATCAAGCAGTGTTCCAAAATGGTGGCACCTGTTTTTGCAGTTTAAGCACAATTGCAGCCAATTTTCAAAATTTTAGGTTCTTTTATAAGAGGTGAAATTATGAATTGTTTCTGATGCATGCTCTTCTTTCAAATGTGATTCAAACTTGATGTTATGTATGACTCAGGCCCACTGAAAAGAAGAGGACCATCACCCCAACCAAGAACATCCTTAGGTGAGTTATACTGCAGTGCTCACTTCACAAAATTAGTGTTGGTTACAGAGGTAACTTAGCATGTGTGTTGGTTTAAGAAGTCAATGACTGTTTTACAGGATAGATCAAGTTAAGAAGTCAGTTATTTATTTCATAATTAAATTAATTGTTTCGCTGTCAAGATGGAACTTCATTACAAAGTGATGACATGGGTGATGATGATGGCATTGTTCCACAAAGGCGTGCTCAAGTATCTCAAGATCAGGAAGACTTAGTAGTGAAAGGTGAGGATGATATTATATAATGATGACCAGTGATTATGGACAACAGAGAAAAATGTATTTTAAATCATGTAATACATTCTAAATCCTTCCAAGATTTGGTTTAGAATACCTTTGCCTAGCCTCTGTTGTTTGAGTGTGTCTTGTGATTGTTTTATGCAAGTGAACAAAAGACTTCAGCCAAATTAGCTGGCAATTAGCAGGCAAAGTAAACTGCATTGACCAGAAACTTCAAATGTAGCAGGGTTGAGTCTTCCTGTAAAAACAATTCTATGCTTATAAAATTTTTCTTTTCCATATGATATCCCACCCCTTCATATTACCCATCACTCAACCTTTCTATAGAAATTTCTATCTCTTCTTTACCATTCTCTTTGAAAATTAATTTAATGTGGTGGCTAAAGGTTTCATGGAAAAATATTTAGCTCAGTCTTTCCAAAAGAAAACCTGTATTGTGGGTTTATTTGGTTTAGAGCCCATTAACCTTCAAACCTTAGGAGCTCTACAGAAAACTAACATTGTTTACTTCTATGTATGATTACAATTTGAGAAAAACATATGGCATCGTATCAGTCAAATTACACACATATCCAGATGAAAACTAAGATACTTTTGCGTCCACTGAGTTTTTAAAGTTCAAACTATTAATTCAAAGTACAGTAACCAATGTAATTGTAGCAAAATCCCAAATTCGAAGACATGATTGTTTTTGGAAAGATCCCTTTTCACATATGTTGAAAACCAGACATGTCACACCTTAATTGTGCTCACATTTTCTGCTTGTGAAACATTTAATTTCAATTAAAATTTTAGGGCCATTAAGGAGAAGAGGAGCTCCTGCACAAGCAAGACAACCAATAGCAGCAGGTAAGATACACAAGTATAGATAAAACTAGGAAAAAAAACAAGATCTCTAATTTTGAAACTTGTGCAGAGAAAAATATAGCTTCTCAGCAATCTGGTTGAACATTTTCAGTAGCCCTGCTTAACATGTGCATGAAAAAATCTGATTTTTGCAGTTGTTATCCATGATGCATTTTTAAATTTAGAGTAGGGAGGTGTACAGCACAAAGAATATCATTTGTTTATATTTTTATTTGTGGTAGGTCCATTGAGAAGGAGAGGTGAATCCCCACAGCCCAGAGCTTCATTGGGTGAGTTAAGAGAGTGTGAGATTACTAACTTTGATAGAGAGGTCCTGAAATGTCAGCGTATATGATTTGGGTTGAAATGATAGAATCAAGACATTTCACTTCAATTTACTGTTTAATGTAGCAAACACGTGTCTCTTCAAATTGGCAGTGCACAGCCAAAACATCTGTTTTGATGATATCATTGAAGAGTAAGTGACTATGTGAAATTGTCACATTTGGTAACTTATGTTGATGGACTGCAACATCACCAATTAACTTTTATCATTCCGACTATTCCAACAAATAAGATACTGCTTCACTGCAAATTGATGACAATGATACTGGAGGTGTAGTTCCACAGAGACGAGGCCAAGTATCACAAGATAAAGAAGACTTAGTGGTAAAAGGTCAGTACTTGTAGTAAAATTGTGAGGGTCTATTGGAAATTATATTTTAATAGTGTTTAAAGCCTAGCCTAACTTTTGAATTCAGTTTATGATTCAAGTAAGTAGTGGAACTTAAAAAATTCACTGTACAAAGACAGTTTTGTTTTCTTGCCACAAACATTGTTGTGATCATTCACAATATCACTGCTTATTGTATCAGTAATCATTTTAGACAGCATCTAATGTGGTATTTCAATGATTCTGTAGGCCTTTTAATTTTAGTAATGACCTTTTAGCTGTGTTGTATTGTGTTCTTTTTTTTGGTGATCTACATGTATCAATAGCTAATGTTTTGAATACTATTTTTTGTACAGGATTAGTGCGCAGAAGAGGTGCACCTCCACAGGCCAAACAACCAATGGCAACAGGTAAGTTGTCAAACTTTCCCTGCCAAAGTTGAATCTGAACACACTCTAAGGGTTTTTTTTTTAATTTGGCTATGTAGGAGCAATCCAAACATATATGCAAGCTGATAGTGATGAGGAATATGTTCAACCCAGGAGACGTGTTCCAGCAACCAACAGTCATCATCAAGATGATTACAATAGTTAGTATTCAATTATGTCTTGTTATATATGCAGTTGAGAACGGTTTTTGTTTCTATCTGCATGTTTCATTTGTTTTTTTTGAAAATAGTATGGTATATGAAACACCCAATTATTGGTTGGCAAGTTGTTACCATTGTGTAACCTATTAGGTCACCAAAGCAATGCTGCATCCCCTTGAAAACACCCTTAATTTTGGCTTTGTGCCTGTAACCCCTTTTAATCGTTGTATTGCAATCAGCATAATTTTAGTTTCATCATAATGCTAAATTAGAAAAGCTGTGAAGTAGGCTCAGAACCTACTGAATTTTTTCTGATACTGTGTGGTGGCTCCTAATCTACTCTACAAACAAAGCAAGCAAGTGAATTTAATGGCATTTTTAAAGTAACTATTCACATTTCAGGAATATGAACGACAAATTTCCACTGTACCGAATTTTGCAACTTATGTCACCAAAACATTCCTTTTGTATTAAAAAAAAAAAGAAGAAAAAAACAGGCCTCTTTAGGGGATAAAACTGTGCAGTTTCAAAGTTGATATGGTAAAGTGGTAGTTGAACTTCATTTCGTGCAATCCTTCATGTGATTTTAGATCAAAAAGTACCAATACCGTTCAGGTACCATTAATTACTTGTGTTTGAGTCGTCAGTCAGGGTTTGTTCTCAATTTGTCACCAGATTCTTGGCAGAGAGAAGACATGAGACCAGACGATGATGTTCCCATAGTAACAGCAGGTATAAACAGCTCGACACAAATCAAGAGGGAGTTCATTTGTGAATTCCTTGGTGAAACTTTTTTTTTAAGAGCTCGCTCTTTGCTGAGCCTTCCGACGAACGTTTAGCACTAGTCTACATTAATCCAGATGTGATTGTCATGACAACTGAAGATCAGGGCTCAGTTGTTCGAAGGCCGATTAGCGCCAACCCAGGGTTAAATCTTAAACCAGGTTTCCTTATTTCTCTATTCAAGTGCCTTTTTCAGAATATTTCTTTATTCTTTTAGAGCATATAATAATCAAATCGAGACAAAAAGAATTAAAACTTGAAATCAAATTTCACATTAACACTGGGTTATCTTAACCCAGCTTTGAACAATCCGGCCCAGTGTTGTTGGATGTTGCATTCATTCCCCGCAAGTTCATTCAGGGTGGCAAGTGGTGTAATTTTAACTTCAATAGGTAAGATATCTTTAGTCGTTTCTTATTATGATTTGCTTCTCTCCTTCTCAAGTGAGAAGACGTGAACCAAATCAGGTCAGGAGACGTGAGCCATCAGCCCGATCACGGGTAGCGGAGGATGTTGAAGTACGCAGGCGCAGTTTACCTCAAACTCCGACTCACACAAGACCTGTTCCAGGCCAGGTTACTGCCATTAGGCGACCAAACACACCTCCACACTCACCGTCACCAAGGAAACCGGTTACACCCAGAGCTGGTCAGCTAGCAGCACCGAGGTATCAAAAAATGTGCTCCTCCAATACTCTACTTCACATATCTCCACAAGTTATAAGCAAAAGATGGTGTGCTTGTTTGCCTAAGTTTGTCTAGCCTCTTATATCATATATCTATCATATCTATCTCTTTCTGATTTACTTGTTGTGTTTTTTTCTTTTGTTTTTCAAGGAGAATTCCAACGCCTCGTGGAGTGAGCCCAGCGAGATCCAATGATGGCGAGAGTTGGAGCGAAGGCTTTTACTAGCCACACCTTCCAGGAACGTTCCGGGTCACTTTCTCCGTTAGTTTGTTTGCTGCGGACTTATGCCATTTTAAGTTCTGGTGAAGAAGAAACTTTATTTGTTTTGACAAAGTTTTTATTGCTTTAAGGTTTAAGGGCAACTAAGGGTGATAATGTCTGTGGTTGGTATTTCTGTTTCTGTTGCTCTTTTTTCTGACATTTTTTAAGATTACACATTAGATGCTTAGTGTTTTGATAGAGGCGCATAAAGGCCCCATGTAGTGGATGTAATGACCACAGTGAAACTACGATGATGGAGTTATTGCCGTGAATGGCAATTTGGTTTCGTTTGGTTTTATTTTACTTGCGAGGAATGAGCTGGGCACGTTGAAAACTTGATGTTTTTTGTTTTTCCTATGAAAGGTGGGTTACAAACACTCCATTTGGTTTTCTGTCAAACCCAGTGACCATTGTAGGGTTATTTTGTAAAATTTGTACAGATTTCATAGTCATTGGTGCAGCTGTCGTGTCGCGCTTGTCCACGCAGGTAGTCAATCAAGTCCCGTTTTTTTCCTGTACATGAATGGGAAAAGGATTTGCGTTGCACTGAATAATATTGAATGGAGATCCACTTGATAGAGTATAGGAAAAAAGTGTGGTGGTTTGACGCCCGTCTATCACACGTCAAGGCCAGTCAAGTCTTAATTTGTGGCAACAGAACTTCGATTACCGTTGTTATTTGTTTCATAAGAAACCCAATAATATTTGGAAAAAATAGGAACAAAATAGTGCATGGACGCAATTAAATAAATGTTTTATTATATCTCTCAGTTAGTACGTGCGCTATGATTGGTCAATTAAGCGTGCCGCTAAATTCAAAAGCGACCCGCCAAATTTAAAGTTTTTTTGAATTAACATCATCCTCTTGAACGGAGAGATATAATAAATATTTTATTTACCGCGTTTTCTTGGTCCATAGTGTAAGTAACCTTTTTTTTTCGCTTCACGCTTGGGGCACAAATCTAAGCGAATAAAGTTCGTTCTGTAACTTACATCACGGACCTAGAAATTAGTAAGATGCGTCACTTTTTTTTATCTGTTATTCTAGGGAATAATATTTAATGTCCTCCTTGTAAATAAGGCGGGGAATGTTTTATTGCGGACAAAATTATTGGGATTTGTTTTAAATTATAAGAATATTGAGAGTAATAAAGCCTTGAGTTGAAACTTTTCCTTGAAAGAGGATTCTCTGATTACATTGCATGTTAATTCCATCTCGTCATGGGTAGAAGAGTTATTGCACATACTATAAGCAGAGTTAGTTGAAAGATTGGAATCAACACCGTAAAAGAATAGTCTTTACTACTCATCTCCATCTTCCTCTTCCCCAGTTCCTTGTCAACTTGTCGTTACCTAAGCATAGAGCAAACGTTCATTTGTGATGTGCGCTGTTAAGAACGCAATGAATCATGTGAGAGACCAAAATTTCCTGCATTTGTAGCGATTGATGTGTCGGTGAAAGGCCTTTATCTCCTTATATTCTACGGGCCAAATTGGTTCAATCTTTCCTTCAATTAGAAACCGGCGACGAAACGTAGTGGACAATATGTCGCCATGAAAGACTAGGAAACGACAGTGGGGGAGGTAAGGGATGTCGTATTTTTTCCACGCATGCATAAATTGATTATAACGTAAAATGCATAAATTAATCAGTATGGATAGATTATTCAGTACGAAATGAGTGAGAGAATTTCAGTTCCATACCAAACACTCATGACTACGTCACACTATGAGGTAAAAATGGTCTTCATGCCATCATTTTGACAATGACATAACTCTGTCCTGAGGATCGAATTTCCTTATTTTAAATATTTTATATTTACAACTGATTTTTTTACTTCACCTTCTTAAAATAATGTAACGTCAGCACCATTTTCAGATTTCAAAACGATTTACTTCGGAGCGTTGTGCGACTACCCCCCATGTTTTTTTCGATTTTGATAACTCTTGAAAGGCCTTGTTTGCTCGCAAAGTCACTAGCCAGCCAAAATTGGATCTCTATCGGGTGACTGCAAAAGAGAATTTGAAATCCCTTAGCTCTAAATCAAACTACAACAAAATTCTCTAACGTGATTGGTTATCACCAACCCGGTTTGAGCACTGATAATATACATGAGAAAAATTACTCAGATCTGATTGGTTAAGATAAATGCATTTTCAGGTAACTCAGTGCAGAAGAGGGTTAGTTCAGTGTAAAGAAGTAACAAACCAGACATTCTGATTGGTCAATAATCAAAGAAACTCACAGATAACCAATCAAATGCGAGCCTTGGATGTCGCAACATTTGGATACGCTGAAAATTTGCAAGCGAAACCATGGCCGGCGTTTCAAGTAGGTTTTCTTTCGCCACCGCAACAACAATGCAGCAGCTGAAAAACAGCTCTCACAACGAAAACACCATAAAAAGTACTGCTTTTTGGTTGTTGCTTTGGAAAAAGTGGTGTTTAGAGAAGGGAATTGCCGAGGAAATTGAAAATTACGAGCCGACCCAGCTTAACACTTTGCTCGAGCGATTCTACGCCGAAATTAAAAACAAAAATGGTTAAACCTCGCAGACGACGATTCCATTTCATCGAAAGTGATTCGGACACAGACTGAACAATTCCTTAAACTGTTTAGCCGAGCTTTAAACTTTTTCCGAAAACAACAAATACATTTAGGACAAATATGTGTAGTAGAGACAATGTTTATGGGAAAAATTCCTCAACTTTGGAAATTCCACAACTTTTTTCAGGATGAGTGGTTGTTGCTATGGTTATTGTGATCAATTCTGTAATTGGTGGATTTGACTGAAAGGACTAAGTATGATTGGCTGCTTCAACTGTCCGATTACAGCCAACTGTCCGATTACACTATCCAATTACAACTCTACAGTATGAATAGTGGAAAACAAAGCAGCTACTACAACCAATCACATTTGAGGAAATTGTACTGGTTATGATTAGTTATGAAAACGTACAACCAATGTCTAGTTTCTTTCTCAAGTTTTTTTCATAGTTTTGATTAATTGGTAACAGGACTTCGTGTCATCCAATTCTGTGGGATTCCTGCTTGGTCGTCCGATGTTGTTAATCACTCGTATGATTACAGACCGAATAGGACTCCACTCGGTCCTATTACCATTATAAAAACAACAGTTAACTTGGCGAAATGTGAGACAACAGCGCGCGCACATGACGCGTTCTGTCAAAGCTACCTCTGTTCATATGGCATTAGTGTGAAACTTAAGAAGACAAGAGATTTTAAAAAATTTTAATTTTGTTTAATCAAATGACGTATTTCCATGGAGGTTTTGAGTGGGATAATGTAAATCAGGTGAACGAGACGTTGAGTGAACATCTAGTTCCATTTGGTTGATTCGCGACTGGAACTTCTGATAGGATTCTTCCAACTCCTACAAGGTAAGCATACAAAAGGTGCAAAAGATTTGTACTACTGCTAACAACCAAGCCATGGGGCAGCCGTACCCCGATGTGTATCAAAACCCTGAGGTTGGTGTACATGCACCACAATTAACCCTTCAACTCCCAGATCAAATTTGTAATTCTTGTTCCAGTCAACCATACAATTTTTATAATGTTAGTTCAGAGAATGTAGTATTGGATCAACTAATTATCCCCAAATTGATCTTGTTCTTTATTCTCATTACTTATCTGGTTGATATAGTATAGATATTGTAAGAAGAACTTCTGTCTTGGTCACTCATGGGGGTTAAAGGGTTAAGCTAAATTAAGACAATTTTTAGCAAACCTTGGCCTCCTTCTCCAGCCGATCAAACAGTTCCTTGCTCTGGGCTATCATAACCACAGTGCTACTGGTTTCGTCCATAGCCGAGTCTGTCACTGATGTTCTATCACCTTCCCATTGAGTTGTATTTACTGCCGGGGACTCAAGTTCGCTTGGCATGGACTCCATGCTATTGGTTAGAAGATCGAATCATCGAATTACTGTTTAACTGACACGATTGCGAATTGGATATGAAATGATGGACTTTGGTTTCGATGGCCACGATCAGCTCATATTGAACAAGTGCAAGAGGTGGAATTCTTCACAGGAAGTAACCGAAAAATATCGATAAACCCTGCTCACTTTGCTTTGTAAATTTTTTTAACCAAACGTGATGACGATAATTTAAGAAATTAATCCTCTTAACCAAAGGCGTTAGAGACAGTTTAACTGCAAATAGTGTATAATATTCGGTTTGCCTTTAACTGAAAAAGAAACAATATCAAAACGTTACCATTTGTGATTAAATTATGTACTACATGGTTGCCACCCATCAGACAAGGGGATAGTAGGCGGTACTGTAACATGCTCACCGTCGATTTTTGTTGTTTTTTTTTCCTATAGGTCTGTTTACTTCTTTCGTGTAAGAAAGGCTGATCAAGACGCGAAAATTAGGCACTAGCAAAATGTTGGGCGTTGGTATTGCGCGAAAAACGTTCCCTTTTTTGAAAACCTTGTTCTGTCTAACATCACCTTCACTTACGCTTTTATAGGGGAGAAATCAAATTCAAGTTAACGTTTGCCCAGGAGTGCATACACCAGAAAAATAGTACGATAGCAAAAGTATATAGAAATAATTACAAACTTACCTTTCTGGGAAAATGAGAACAAAGCAATATTACAAACTGTACCGGTTACTATCACCTTAATTTTTACAACAGAGCTCCAAACTAGTAGCACTGGACTAGTTGTATTAAAACTCCTTTAGGCTTACCAAGGGATGGAGTTTGCTCTTCTTCGGCCAAGTTCCACATCGAGCACTGAAAGGGGAAAACCAGTAAAAAACGCATAAATAAATGAAAAGAATGCTGAGAAAAAGGTTGGCGCGATTGCTATCATTATCTTTCTTCTTCGTAAATGCAGCACACATCTCTCTCTCAGTCCGAGTTCCATTGTGGAAGTTCATAGTGGTACTTAGATTTCTTCACGTGTTTAATTCCATTGTTTTAATTGTAGTGCCGTTAAATAAATGTACATTTAATGAATGGCTCACGAATTAAATCACTAATTTCAAATTAACTGGTATTATCCACTCCATAAAAGTAACAATTAATGTATAAATAATACCTTGCTGCGTTTGTTGCAAAGTAAGTTTTAGGTCGGCTACCTCTTGATTGAGCGCAGACTGACTCATCATCGTTTCTTCATAAAGTTGTTGATACTTAAGTCGCTTCTGACACTACAAGGGAGACAGAAAAAAAACACTTCAAGACAAAAATGCATCCGAACGTGTCAAACACCTACTCAACAGGTCTTGTTTTACATTAAATTTCTTTCATAAAAATTTTGGTAAATTATCGGCGGTGATAAAATGGCGGCGTACATAACGAATGTTCGGCGCATTTGAGAACAGTTTCTGAACCGTTAGGAACATTATTTGGAGTCTCGACACACTTTTAAATGTTCATTTCTGTAAATATTTGTTAGAAGCTTAGATAAAAATTATGCGATTGTACTGGGAAAATTTCTCCTCACGGAAGATTGCCTTTTTCAGCCGAGAGAATTTCGCGCGATTCTGTTGATAATTGACCTATTTAACTCATATGTTTTGTAAACCCATTTCAGGTCATGTTTTAATACTCCAGAGAACTGTTTCGTTCAAATTTAGTCTTATTCACGTGCATATGTACGTATTATTTTCAAAAGATAAAGCTGGGAATTTCTTTGGTACCTGAAATGAGTAAACAGAACATACAAGCCAGAGAGGTCTATTGATAAAAATGCTGAAAATTGACCTGGTACCTTCATGGAAGCAAAGAGACCGACTGAGCTTGATTTTATATTACATTCTATCATTAAGGCTACAGCTTTACCTCTTCATCCAGTCTGGATTCCATCTTTGTTTTATAATCTTTCCAAGACTTTTCCTTCGACTTGGCGGTTTTCTCCATTTGTTTTAACTGATCTCGTAGATGTAGCTATCAAAATCACAGAGAATTAGCTCAAGAATATTTTAAAAAATACCAGAAACTGTGATTTAAAATTATTCTCATATGGTCTTTAGAACAGTAACATAGATAAACAAAATCAACTTAGAGGTCATACTAGGTCTGCAGCAGACTCCATTGATTTTTCCCTTAATTCGCTGATTAGTCTTTGGTTTCCTGAATCAAAGAATAAAGATGTGTAATACAAATTAACCATTAAGGTTTTGTCACCCAGAAAAACTGACTCAACTGAACAGCATAAAATTGCTACCTTTCTCTTCATCTTCATACTTCAACAAGTTTCTACAAAAGGGGAAATACGTAGATATCAGTTTGCAACACGTAGTGAACAGAAGCACTTTGTAACTAAATTCATTTAGTCAAATTCAGATCATTTTTTCACTGCCTCTGCTTTCGGCAGTGCATGGATGAACTTGATTGAGCTTTCTAGAAATGATAATCAATTTAACTGGGAAAGTGGCGGTCAGAATCAGAAAAAAAGGATTATTTCATTGATGAGTCAATTGAACAATTTGGATAATTCAAAATTGTTCACGTGATAAGGACCAGTAGAACTTAGCAAACCCTGTCTTACCTGTTCAATATTGCATTCTCCTTGGCAAGAGCGTCATCTCTTTCTTTGATCGCCTCGAGATCCTTTTTCAAAGAATCAAGTGAACAATAAATATGGAAATCTTAAATAGACTATCTCACGTTCGAATCGTTATATTTTTATATTTTCAACAGAAAGAGTTCGTTATCTAGAGCGAAAAAAAACCACCTTATTCAAAGATTTTCTAGAGATGTCATCAATTCACTCACCTCGCTCAGCTTTATACTCATCATTTCCTTTTGCTGGAGAGCTAAAGCAAGTTGTGTCTTGTTATCATCAAGTTGAATCTGCAGAGGATGCATAAGAAATAGAGCATCTGACAATTAAACATGTGGCAAATCTTTAGTGGAAGTTCAGCAAACTAACTTCCACAAAAGTTAAAAATTCATGTACACACTGCTTACAGGAAGGGAGGGTGAGATGTTTGTACAGTGAGGCTGTAAACAGGGAAGAAAAAACAGTTCAACATCCTTTGAGTTGAAGAGTAACACTCAACACATCCTCATGGCGAACAACTCCTGGATCAGTGTCGTTACCGATACATACATGAAAATTAAACAGACGTAAAAGTGGACTGATAATTTGGATGTTTCCTTTTTCTAGACATCAACATCAGCTGTTTTCTTTATTTGTTATTTTACCCTTCCCCCATTGTAGTCTGTATATCCAACATACTTGTAATTCTTTTAATTTTCCTTTGGTTCTCTGCAGTTCGTCAGAGGTGTTTATATAAACACCTTGCTTTCTCTCGAAACCATCCAAATCTCCTGTGAACGGCAAGTTGTTATCACTCGGTTAAATTGAATAACAGCCATATAAGTTGAACAGGTGACGATAGAATCAAAAACTCAGTTACTGTTTTTAATACGTTAATAATACATTTTACCCTTTAAATCACACAAAAATTATCAAAAGTAAGGCACGAAGAGAACAAAAAGACATGACAGCTTTTATTAATAACAGGTATAATTATGTGTTACAAATCAAGTGACAGGAACTTTTCAACAACTAAATACATATATTGTTTTTAACACTAATGGACTGTCTAAGACAACGAAACGAAAAACTAAATGTTAGTTGGGTTGAACTGTGGGTCACAAAACCATGGCGACCAAGTAGCTATAATTCGGTTCCGGTCAGCGGTGTTCTACGGAACCGGTATTCAATTACCCATTCAATGATCATCTATTCACGATATGATTTGACATTTTATCATGACAAAAATTGACTGAAGTAGAAAACATTGAGGTAGAAAAAATAAGCAAAATTTCGGAGGCTAGCTAGGTACGCAGGGGATCTGAAATTCAAAGTTGATATTGTTCTCAAAACACACAAAATTGCGAGGTGCCTCCACAGTAAACTTAAGAAGACACTCCACTGAGTGGTTCTCTTTCAAAGTTTCAGCTACAAACAAAAATAAACACTCAATTTCAAGTAGCATCATTACATCATCACCACGTTAGAATGAACTTACGTTGTAGCCGTTTTTCTCTGAGCTCTAGAGTTTGTCTTCTGTCGTGAGATTCTTCGTCACATTTTAATTTGTACCTAAAATACATGAAAGGCACACTGGGCATGAGGCACATGAATGAGGGATTTGTAGTTTTTGTTCTCGCGATCTTAATACATATGAGTGTCATGAAAATACACCTTGTATACGTGTAATGTGGACAGCGGACGGACAGAAGCAGCGCTTCGGTTGTTAGTTTGTTTGAAATTGGAGCCAAGCGACCACAAAAAAAAAAAAACATCTTTTAGAAACGTAACTACTAACTTGACTAAAATCAGAAAAATTTACTTCACTCGAAATTAATAAACTTTGAAGTTTTTTTTAACCAGGCCTCTGTGCAGTACGAAGGCTACTTTTTCCCCAAAAACCATGTTGGTCTAGCGTCGGTGATAGGCGTGAAACATGCGTCTTAACAAGATATTTTATATCATTAAGCGTACTCCAGTTCACAAACATTTTATCAAGCGTCACGCTATTATCTGCAAGTTTACGCAGTCGCTTCAAGATTCCTCTACTTTTCATTTGACTGACATGTATCACTTAGAAGTCGCAATCTTTTCGACCATTTAGGAAGCACTCAAAGACTACAAGTTACGTTAGGCGAGAAAACTTGTGTGTTTCTTCGTAATGGAGAGTTTTTCCATGTGATCCAGTTTGTAGATTTTACGGAGTTCTCAGTCTTGCAGAACGCGTTACAACTTCTGCCAGTCCGAAATAGTAACTTCTTGACACTGCTGTCGCTGTATTTGTAATATCCAATTTTTCAACATCTTTGATTATTCACTACCTCCTCTCCATTCATTTCTTACGAAAGAAACTTAGAAATTAAGGTATTAAGAAATAATAAACAATAAGCCACAGTTGCCACCTCTGTACTTCTTCATCTAGTCTTCTATTAAAGTTGGCCTCTGCATCTTCTAAAAGAGATTTCTTGATTTTTAATTCCTGAGATAAAACGTTTATCCTCTCTTCTTCGAGCTTCAATGTTCTGGGGTGTAAAAGGGAACCAAGTTAGTTTTAGCTGTATTTGTTCATGATCATCTAAAAACCGATAAGGAAGTACTCCATCAAAGTATTACAATTGTTTAAATGGGGGTTCAGAAGTTTCGTTAAATTCAATCGACCTGCAACTGAATTTTGAGCCGGGCACAACAACTGTTGGGACTACTCGGCATAACTATTCCTTACTTTGCTTTCATTTGATGGTTTAAATCAAACTCAGTTTCCCGTTGTTTGAGAGACAACATATCTTCCAGGAGTTTCTGTCGTTGCGCGTGTGCTTCTTCTTCCTGAAGCTGAAGAATTAAAAAGAAAAATGACAAAGTGACATTAAAGAGAGTTGCAACGTTGTAGATTAGATGAGATGCCGAAAAAAAAGCCTTACAACTTAATGCTATTTGGACGAAACACTATCCTCAATTACCAGGTTAACTGGTTTACATCCTTGCTGCCACCCAATAATGATCATATGATTATTCCTCTTGGGAGGTTAAATCCCGCAATTTAATGTCAGATGGCGCGGAGCGCATAAGAGTACGTTCGACAATAAGCCAAAAAACTGCACCTGTTGTTGAGTGCTCAGTAACTGTAACTTTTCTCTCTCATCGGCTTTTAATTTCTCTGCCTTGGCTGCATATTTTTCCTCAAGCTAAAAAAAACACAAAATGACTGTTTTTGATTAAACTAAGCTATTAAAATTGTCATGGAAACACAGACGTTGGAGATATTTCAATGTACTGGTATAGTGGGCTTTATGGGCTTTAAATATAGACTTTTGAACAAGAATAATCTACATTTCTGTAAACCGGCGCAATCTGATGAGCTGCAATAACGCCTCTCTGTCGATCTTGGCGACTATCCTTCCATGGACCAAACGAGTAAACCTCTCCCCTTGATTTCTAAGCAAAGTTCCACGAGTTTTTGGCTTGGTGATATGCACTGGCAGTACGTGACAGACAATCATGTGCTCTCGCTGTGGTGAAAACTGTGATTACATAGAGGATTACAGTTATATTGCGACAAACCTTGATTTCAGTAAAGCGTAGACATACCTGTTTTCTTATGGTTTGGACTTCTCTTTGATATTTTTCCTTCTCTTCGAACCTTACACGAGCAAGTTCTGTTGCTTTCAGGTACCCAAGCTAGCCATGTTCAACACAGACCAGTGGAAATCATTGTAAAAAGAACATGTAAATCAAACTATCACGAGTAAAACCCGGGCCCACCAGCCGAACCATACTACTGATCTGTCTTAGCTTAGTGCACAAACTTGCTCCTGAAGTACATTGACTGCTGCCTCTGACAAATTATCAGTTACATTGATTGCTGTCTCTGACACTATCACTAACGATTCACAACTTGTGGTTTTTTTCTTTTAATAATGAAAGGCCTTTTCACATTTTAAAAATTTTGAATACTTCTCTATTAAAAATCAAATAAATTTGAACCCAAGTTTGAAATGTTAGTTCTCAGGGTGTGTTACTACAAACTGTCTTGTTTGCTGACTAGTACTCAGTGTCGGTTGTTCATTATTCTATATGCTCCCACATTTTACTTGCGCCTGTTGTGCACTCCAGAGTGAATTTTACGTTTTAAGAGTAAATTTGTTTTTATTAAAAAAAATTGTACTAAGCAAATCATTGGAAGACATGTAATATATACCTCCTCCTCAAGCAGTTTTTTCTTGTCGTGTTCCCATTGTTTGTGCAATCCAAGCAGCCACTTTTCAGTCTGAGAACTCCATTTCTGATTTTCTGTCTGAAGATTTTTGAGGTACTGTCTTTCCACACTTTGCAGTTTATCCTCTATGGAGGCAGAGGGTGAAAATAAGAGCAAAAATTTGCTTCCAGGTGTTTCTGGTGTGAGTACATCATTAAACAATTTTCCTTGCGCTTGTCTACTAATTTGTAAGAAATTAGTACAGCATGATGATTTTGTTTCTTAAAATTTCTATACTATGTCTTGTTTCTTAGGTAGTTTGTAAATTACGAGTAATGTTAGCAATGTGTGAAGTTTCAAAATTCTGAGCTTTATGACTGCTGCAAGCAATGCTGGTACTTTAAATAACTATTGTACCATAACAATTATACTGCCACTTGTTAAGCATTACCATTTAGTTTACAAGTGAACTTGCATACTAAACTTGTTTTGAGTAATATCATCGAATGAGTTTAAAAATTGGTTACCTATTGAAGAAAGTTGCTTTAAGGAAGCTTGAACAGCTTTTGAAGACTTTCCATGATCATTCGACACACCTAGGGCACTTAAGAATTCTACCAACAAACCTGTAAAACAAATCACACACTGAGATTATTTGTGGAAAGATACCTGTGATTTCTGGAGTGAAACAGTAGGAAAGGCAGAAAAGCAACTTATCAGCAAAACTCACAACTTATACAATGGTAAATTCATGTTTAAAAGTACTCACTGTAGACAAGCATTGTTTTGACTAGTATTTGTAACTTGTGCAATAGTTAGTAATTATTTTCTTGTTGTTGGCTTCTTGCTCCAGTTGTTTACTTAAGAATGCCATTGTGACTAGGTGAACTCTTATTTAAAAACTCACTAGATTCTAATGATAAAATAATCTTTTGAAAATTATATACCACTGACAATCTATTGCTAACCTAATTTCAATTACGATGGAACGATTGCAGTGTATAGGTAGACTGGTACAGACACCACACACTTAACATTTCCAAAGAGTATGACAAACACTGGCAGACTATGAAATATGCAGGGTCAGGAGAAAATACAATTAAGCTTCTCCTTTGAGGCAGGATAGAGCTTTGGCTTGTTTATGGCTTTACCTGGTAGACAAGTGAGCAAAAAGTGTTCCTTGGACAGGGGAATTTTTGCTATCATTACAACAGAAGCCAGGTTGGAAGTCTTTCCAAGCTCTGATATCCCACAGAAAATTGTCTCGCTTAATGTTGAAGTTTTTCCTTCACCTTTTAATTTTTTTATTTAAAAAAAATTACCATTTGATGATCCATGTTTATCCAATACAATTTCCTGCAAAATAAGAACTTCAGTTGAAAGGTTACCCCGTATCATGCTTAAATCTTGTGCAATCCTATGTTAACATGGACCTTAAGTTATAACAGTGAAACTAAATTTAAAAAATGAAGTCAACTTGGCACATGTATAGTATTCAGTCACATCATTTATACTTTCAGATGACATTGTATAAATCCAATACCTGTAAATAATTGGAGCCAAAAAGCTACAAGGATAATTGTAATATAATAAGAAAGAAAATCCTGTATTAAATATAAATTGTCCAATTAGGGAATGATTGCAAGCAGATGTTATCTGTGAGAATTCCAAATATTAATGCATAACGTCTCAATTGAAAAACCAAAGAAACTCTTAATAAACATAATAATGATATTCTTGAAATGTTGTAGGATGACAGCACATTATAAAAAAACAATGAAATATACATTGATAATCTTGCTACATGAAGTTCTTTAGCCATGGCAGTATTGCTTGTTTATATTGTGGTTCAAATCATTTTTTTTTCTTTAAGATTTTGAAGACAAGGTTGATTTTTATCTCCCCTTGCAACAAATATTCAATGTCTCAAGATAAAATTCAACAATAATAAAAAATTGGAAGCAAAACATGTACCATGGTAGGTGAGCCAATCAAAATTTTCAACTCAAATTTGCATCATATACACTGATCTAGTTGTAAAAAAAAATTACATACAATCAAAAAATAGTTCTGTCACTTATATCATCTCAGGGAAAATCCTTATTTCAAGTTCACACATATAACAAAATATTTAAACTCAAGACAAGTTTATTTTGTTGATCCCTTTTCAACTTTTGTACATATTTAGTATATATCTCAAGGGATTCCCTGTAAATCTAGAGGGAGTAGTTGTTATGTGCTTTTCAAGAACATTCTCTACACATCCTTACTAAAAATCTTAAAACATCAACATGTTAAACATACCATATTCTTGTAGAGCTCAGAACCTTCTCTAATTTTTAGCAGTAAGAGGATATCCCTCATTGTAAGTAACTGAAACAAAAAAAAGCACTTTTCTTGAGAAAATTAAAGGCCTTTGCCTATGATAAGTGAAAATCATCCTTTTTTAGATGCATAGACCCTTCAGTGGTTTGCAAAAATAAATGAAGTGCTGGGAGAATAACCACCATCTTTCATAATCAAAGTTATTATTTCAGATTCCCATAAGATCACTTTTCTTGTAAGCAAATGCTTTTTGCACCTTTGAAAGAAATGAGAAGGACATGAATCTCAAGGACAGATTTTCTGATCATAATTGTGGATTTCCTAATGGGTTTTCCAAAACACTTAATTCTTCCTTCCATTCTTCATATATATCCATGGAGGAAAAATAGCAAATAAAGAATTTATTTGATTTAATTACCTTATGTTCTTGTAAACCACTCTCTGGCATGAAGACAGATAAAGAATATTCATAATTACATCTCTTTAAGTGGTCAGCAACAAGGCTGTTAGCAGCAAGTTTACAGACAGTCTCTGTATTTTCTGACTGACCATGTAATTCTGCCAAATCATCCTTGCCAGCAGTTTCTTGAAGTTCTTTTATTAGACGATTCCTAAGTTGAGACTGCATAACAACAGAGAACAAACTAATGATTACTTTATCATCACATCTTCGTCTTGAAGACTTCATGTTCATGTAGGTAACAGATCCTTAATTCTAAGGATAATTTCTAAATGAAGGACATCATGATTTGAACATACAATATTTGTATTGATAAAAAAGGATGTTAACCATTTTTTTGATCTCGTGCTCATAAAAATTTTCATCATTGGTCATTAAGTGACAATTGAACTGAAAAAAATACCATCTTTCTTAATCTTTGTTTAGCATTATTGGTCTGCCCAGTCATCAATTTAGTGTAGAAAGTAATGTAACTCATGATTGCACTGGTTTTACTTTACTGCCCTTAGAGATTGGTGAAGAAAATGAACATCGCCTATCAACCACCAAGATACCAGACTAAAAAGTACTGCAACTTGGTCACTTGAATTTTCCTAAGCTTAAGGACATTTGCTTGTTCTAAATTTGAGTTCATTGACTGCACTGTGATAAAAACCTTTTTGTTCTGATTGGCCATTGCAATGACAATTGATACTCAGTTGAAAAGCCCTTTATATAGAACCCAAAGCATATGCCTTAGTAGGTTATATGCTTCTGATGGTATGGAGGTCTGCTGATGAATAAGCCACGAACCTTTTCCTCTGCAAAAAGCTGACAAGGTTAAAGGTTATGTACATCTTTTTTTAAAAAATTTTATGATCGCAACAAAATTGCCTCCTTTAATAAAATATATTGAGACTGCTTTTACAACATCTTAATCATATCAGACAACATGAAAAAAGATGTGGGAAAACATTAATTTATTGATAAATAAGAAGCAGCAGCCAAGTTCTCATATAGAAAAGTTACAAGTAGAAAATAAACAATATGAACAACCTTTTATTATCTACAACTGCCTCAACAAATTTTTCTGTAATATCCCTTGTACACTAGCACCACAACTGCTTAAAAATGATAGGAGTGCAACATCTTATCTTTCCCAGAAACAATGAAATTTTGCCTCTCACAAGTCTCTGAAATAGAGGTATTTCTATTACTAAAAAGTCTTGATATGAAGAAGTCATTTGGAATTGACTAGGTTCATCCACTTTTATTAAAAAGCGGAACACCACAAATGTGCCATCCTTTAACTTATATTAATCTTAAAGTTTCTAATTCAACCAAAGTATTTTTCCTGATAGTATGAAACTTGCTAAAGTTGTTCCAGTTTTCAAACAAGGCTCTTGTTGTACATGTAACAATTATTAACCTATTTCAGTTCTCTTTTCTATAAATAAAATATTTGAGAAATGAATTTTTAATCAGCTTATGTCCTATCTTACCAATGGAAACACAATTTCCTCAAAACAATATGGTTTATATCAGGTTATACAACCTCTGACTGTCTAATTCATCTTAATGAAGAAATAATTTCTTCTCTTGATCAAGGACTCTATGTGGTTTCTTTATCCTTAGACCTAAGTAAAGCCTTTAACACAGTAAATCATCAAATATTACCAATTAAAATAAACTTAACAGGGCGTAAAATTGATTTTTTTTCTGATAGCCACTTGGCTCCTAAATTCATCAAAGTGGTAGCCAATTAAAAAAAAGTTG